GGCAAAAAAAGGTCATAACTTTCCTAGTCCATGAGGTCCATGAAGCATTCTAAACTGATCAAAATGTGTTTGAGTCCACTCAACTCCAAGATCACCCATAAAATGGACCAAAAGTGCTAAAACCCCAAATGAAAAGATCTAAACAACTAGATATCAAGATTGGAACTTTATGCTTAAAATAGTCTAGAAATGTAGTGTCTTTGATGGATCTAAACTTGAAACATCATTCCTTGTAACCAAAAGAGCCGTCTTGATCTTTAACTTCATCAAAATATCATAAAAAAACACCGAAAAGAGGAGAGAGAAGATAGGAGAAGCACAAATCTTGAAGGTGGAGGCTAGGGTTTCTCCCAAGGGGTCCTAGAGGTGGTGGAGGTAGCTAAATGCCCAAAAATGTAGAACCTTATGCTTAAAAACGTTAAAAACCCTAAAATCATGGGATTGGGCCTGACAGATCACCATGTCGTGGCGACGGTTTTCACCCACATCCACCTCAACTCCTAACAGTCATAACTTCTTCGTTTCAACTCCATTTTCGGCGATCCTTATATCCATGGAAAGGTATTGACGAGCCTCACACTTTTATCTAGTTAATTTTGGATTAACACATGTCAAACTAAAAAACATAATCCATGAAGGAAGTCTGAAACATCATGTTTCCTATTTTACCCTTTGACTCCAAAACACAAACCAAGGGCTTAGATCACATAAACAAGGGCTTATCAACATCCGATAGGGTCTAAACCTTATTCCCTTGAAGCTCAAGGCCTTTACTTGATCCATTTATTGTCCACAATCCCAAAATAAGAAACTTCTCAAAATAGGATGTTACAATATTGGAAAAGTAGCTTTAAAAACTTCAATGGGTACTACCTAGATTTTGAAGGATGTGAAATACATTCATGACCTGAAGAAAATGCTGATCTCAATGGGACAGCTGGATAAAAAGAGTCATGATGTAAAGTTTGGAAAAGGTAAATGGAAGGTTATTAAAGGGAACCTGGTCATTGCTCGAGGAAACAAGAGGGGAACTCTATATATGGTGGATTTGACCTCGGGATAAGAAAAATACAACTATTGGAAATGGGGAGTCCTCGACTAATGACACCAACGACTTGGCCATATGAGTGAGAATGGAATGAAGGTGCTTGCTTCAGAGGGCAAGATCCCACAATTGAAGAATGTGACAGTTGACTTCTGTGAACCTTACATATTCGGTAAACAAAAAAGAGTTACTTTCATGAAGATGGGCCAACCACCAAAATCAGAGAAGCTTGAGCTGATACATTCTGATGTCTTTGATCCCCCACCAGTTTCATCAACAGGAGGTTCCTAGTATTACGTTACATTTATAGATGATGCTACAAGAAAGATATGGGTTTATGTTTTGAAAAATAAATTCGATATTTTCTCTAGTTTTAAAAGGTTCAAAGCTATTGTGGAGAACGAGAAAATCTGAAGATAAAATGTCTAAAGTCAGATAATGAGGGTGAATACAACAACAATGAGTTTACCGATTATTATGTAGAACACGAAATTAGAATGTTGAACACTGTGCCAGAAACACCTTAGCAAAATGGTGTTGCTGAGATGATGAACAGAAGATTAAACAAAAGAGCTAAAAGCATGAGGTTACATGCAGGGATGCTAAAAATGTTATGGGCAGATGCAATGAACACACAACTACTTACCTTATAAATCGTGGTCCCTCAGTCCCCACTGGGTTTAAAATTCTAGAAGAGGAATGGAAGAAAAGGGAAGTATCTCTCTCACCTTAAAGTATATGGTTGTAATGCTTATGTCAAGGTTAAAGATGTAGAAAAAGACAAACTTGAGGCCAAAGCTAAGAATTATATCTTTATTGGGTACGGGCTGGATGATATAGGCTATAGATGCTGGGATAATCAAACCATGAAAGTGATCAGGAGCAGAGATGTCACTTTTAATAAAGATGCCCTCTATAAAGATGATCTAGCTACATCTCCAAAAAAAAGCAAACAATATCAGAATGCAGTGTTTGAAGAATTGACAGATGTTAATGTTTTACAACCTAAAACTAGTGAAGGCTCACAAAATACTGGAAGTGCTGAAGAGACAGTAAATACTAAAGTCAACGGAGTTTTGCAGAAGATAAAGACTCAGAAACCGAAACCCTAGACCAGTCAGAAAACGAATCCCCAAATCAGACACGTGTTGAAACTCCTAATCTCAGAAGATCGACAAGAGATCGGAGACCCACTAGCAAATATTCTCCATTAGCTAATTACTTGTTACTGACAGAGAAGCCGGAGTCTTATCAAAAGGTGCTGAAACCGAAAGACTCTATAAAATGGAAGAAAGCCATGAAGTAGGAGTTGGATTCACTTGACAAGAACCATACCTAGTCCTTGGTCAAATTACCAGAAGGAAAGAGAGCTTTGCAAAACAAATAGGTGTTCAAAATCAAGAATGAAGCTGATGGCAGCAAAATGTATAAATCCATAATAGTTGTAATGGGTTGCCAACAGAAGGAGGGGATTGATTACAATGAAATAGTATCACCAGTTGTGAAGATGACTACTATTCGACCGTCTTCTCACAGGTTGTGAAGATGACTACTATTCGTCTGGTCTTGAGTATTATGGCTGTTGAAAATTTACATCTGGAACAGCTGGATGTTAAGACTGCATTCTTACATTGTGACCTTGAGTAAGATATTTACATGTCCCAACCAGAAGGCTTCCTGGTAAATGGTAAGGAGAATCTGGTGTGTAAATTGAAAAAGAGTTTATATGGACTAAAACAAGCCCCAAGGTAGTGGTATTTAAAATTCGACAACTTCATGCAGAAAAATAGGTACAAGAGATGTGAGATGAACCATTGATGTTATCTGAAGAAGTTCAGATCCTCTTACATTATTCTTTTATTACATGTTGATGGTATGTTCGTTGTTGGATCAGACATACATGAAATCAACAAACTAAAGCAGCAACTCTCTAGAAAGTTCGAGATGAAGGACTTGAGAGTTGCCAAACAAATTCTCGGGATGAGCATAGTCAGAGACAGAGTTGCTGGAACTTTGAAGCTTTCATAACAGAAGTATATCAGAAAGATTCTAGAGAAGTTCAACATGACTGTCGCAAAACCAATAAGTACACCTTTGGGAAGTCAGATAAAACTTTCGAAGAAACAGTCCCTAAAGAAGTATGAAGACAGAGAAGAAATGGCCAAAACCTCGTATGCATTAGCAATTGGCAACTTGAAGTATGCTATGCTGTGCACTATACGAGACATTGCACATGTAGTGGGAGTTGTGAGCAAATTTATGTCAAATCTAGGTAAAGTGCATTGGGAAGGGGTCAAATGGTTGCTGAGTTACTTGAAAGGTACTTCTGAAGTCGCTCTATGTTTCAATAGAAATAAAGTGGTTTTGGAAGGATTTGTTGATGCTGATTTAGGGGTGTGCAGATTCGGGAAAAAGCACTACTGGGTATGTTTTCACTATCGGAGGTACAACAATGAGTTGGATGTCTAGACTTCATAAAAGTGTTTCCCTATCAACTACGGAGGCATAATATATGGCCATTGCAGAAGCAAGAAAAGACTTGATATGGTTAAAGAATTTTCTGTCAGAACTGGGAATAAAACAGGAAGACTATGTTCTCCACTGTGACAATCAAAGTGCGGTACATCTTGCAAAAAATCCGGTGTTTCACAGCCGAACGAAACACATAAAGATGTGATATCATTTCTTACGAGAACTGATAAATGATGGTATACTAAATCTGAAGAAAAGCATTGGTATGAAGAATCCAGTTGATAAGTTTACTAAGGTGGTACCAAGTAATAAGTTGAAGCTGTGCATGGCTTCAACTGGGTTTCCATGAACTTGAAGAGGAGAGAGAGAGAGAGAGAGAGAGAGAGAGAGAGAGAGAGAGAGAGAGAGAGAGAGAGAGAGAGAGAGAGAGAGAAAGAGAGAGAGAGAGAGAGAGAGAGAGAGGATACAAACTTGGTTGACAGCTAAATGATGATCAAGCCTCCAAGTCAGAGATTGTTAGATATGAAGACTTATCATCATATCTGGAATTTTAAAGACTGTTTTTTTTTTTGGGGCGGACCAATTTTTTTTAGGTTTTTTTAATTGTGTTTTTTAGTTGGGCTTGACGTTTTAGATGTTTAGGTCAAATCTTGTCGTTTATATACTTATGGACGACCGTATCTGTAACATTATAGCAGAAAAAGCATGTGTGGAGTAAAATCACTCTCTGGTTCGACAGTGGACGTAGCATATCGCAAGATAGTGTGAACCACTTAAATCTTTGTGTTTTGTGTGCTTTGATTTGATTTTCGTTTCTGTTTTTTTCTCGTATTCCTCATATCTGTTTTTTTGTCGTTTCTTCTTAACCTAGCAGCGGGGAGAGGGACAAAGCATCATGATAGGGTCATGACGAGGAAGATTAATCAATCAGTGCTCATATTCTATTTTCGCCTCCTTACAAAAATGGTCCATATAGATTATATAATGACAATATATGAGAAAAGATTAAAAAATAAATAAATAAATAAATAAATAAAATAAAATAAAGAAGAGGGGTAATATGGTTATTTTAGAATCATTTAACCACCTTAATGAATAACGACTAAAACCGATGGGTTTACTAACCATGAGAATAAATGTCAAATTGCTAAAACTATGACCAAACCTATATAAAGGTGCATACCACAGGACCAAAACTGTAATTTACTCTTGATTCAAGAAAACCCACTTGTTTATAATTTAACTTGTACAAGAATGATGCAAGCCAATGCCGGAATGATGGTGTTCTTTTGGGCACATTGACCTAAATTAAGGAAAATCCTATCCTAACATCATTACTATCAACCCCTAATCATTGCTTACAAGAACCTTTTTGGTACCCCTAAAAAACAACCTTTATGTTCTATTCTCAAAATTTGAATCCAGAAACAAAATCCCATTAATTCAAGAAAGCTTCATTCATTCATTCATTCAAATCTCAAACACTTGAATACAATTTACACAACACCCATGTTCGACTTTCTATCCTATTGAAGTAGCAAGAAAAAGGATTTCTTGTTTACATCTATGCAATTGATCCTATTGAGGTGAAATAACACATTCATAATCTAAGTAGTTAACCAAAACCACTCTCACAAATCAAAAGCTTCTTGAACTTGATAACAACTCTTCTGCATCTTTAAACCACTTAAACTATATCTTGACGCCACTATTTCATTAAGAGACAATCTTTTCTTAGGCCCTGATTCCGGCCTTTGTTTAGGGGCACTATGCGACCTCAGTTTTGCCTTTGATGACTGTGTGCTCGCCATGTAACTTGGGTGGTTTGAATATGGCCGGAAAAATCCATCCCCACATACACTTTTTGCAGGTGTCACCGGAGCATTTGACCGGAATCTTGGAGTGCTTTGAGCTGTGTTAGAGAATTTGTATTCATCACCCGCGAATCCCCATTCTAAATCTTGAAGATTGTGGAACTCTGGAATTGAGATACATGCGGGGTTCGAGCAAGGTAGGGGAGACGGGATGTTGCTGGAATGGAATTGTGATTCCTCCCCGGAATCAGATGTACAAGTGTTGATGCGTCTGGATCTTGTGTGTGGCCTGTAGGTGTCGATTTCGACTATTTTTGGACTTCCATCGTAGCAATTTGTTGAAGATTCGTAAGCTGAGAGTCTTTTACTATGGAATTCGTTTCTCTCAATCTCAAATCTCCCCTGGAGGATCAAAAATGTCAAAAAAGTAACAGATGGAGGACCAAAAGTGTAAAATGGAAGCTTACAATGGATTTTCTATGGCGCAATTCGTGATCTTTTGTGAATGAACGACGAGCCCTTTCCGATCTGATTGCAGCTTGAGCTCTAATGAGAGCTTGCATACTATGAAGAGTGGCGGCTGCTCTTTTCCTCACGAGAAAACCTCGTACAAGAGCTTGTAATTTCACTAATCCTTTTAGAGCTCTGAACGCTTTTCGAGCCTGTGATAAAGTTACGAAAAAACATGATTATGAATCCAAATTCAAACCAAATTAGTTAACAAAGAAAGGGAAATGATGGATTAGTATTTACCAAATGGGATCTAAACACTTTTTGAATCATAACGGCGGCGCGTTTTTCTTTTCCACCGGCGTACAGGCTTCCTCTGCTCTGGTTTGTGAGCCGGACAACAGCCACGGCGGCCTGTGCCGCTGCCACGGCGGCATCTGCAGCAGCAGCGGTGGCGGCAGCGACGGCAATTGCGTGTTTGTTCTGTTCCTTTTCTGTCTCCGACATGTAAGATCTCAACCAAGTGGCGTCACTTCCTGTTGCCGATGACTGATTAAACTTAGACATCTTCGCCGGCACCGGCGGCGGAAACTGGGATTCCTTCAAGGGTTTTCCGAAGCTCCATCTTTTCTTGTCTTTCCGGTCGCCTGAATTCAAATTGTTTACGTTTTCTTTATCTTTCATACCCAACAGACCTTTAAACCACCTCGATGCTTTTCCCATCTCTTTCTCTAGATTCAAAAATGGAAATTTAGAGAGAGAGAGAGAGAGAAACAGAGATTCAAATACAAAACACAGGAGATATTTATCGAGAGAGATAAGTTTACTGTTTACTGAAAGAAAAGAAAGAAAAGAGCCAAGTGTTTATTATCAGTGAAGGAACATTTGGAAGGACATTTAGAATCTTTTACAAGTTGGAAATGCAGAGAGGTGGTGTGGTGAGAGAGAAAGGGTGTTCGTTAAAAAATGTAAACAAAAAGGTATCAAACCTTAAAATAATACTCTTTTGAGAGATAATGTATGGGTTTTTTTTTTGAATTTTTATTCTTGTATTTCTGACATAACCTCGTGATGAACTGCATTACAAGACAAAAAGGTGATGCAGAAAGAAACAAAGGAAAAAGTTGGAAAAAGAGACACCATCTTGGTTTTAGATTTTGGAGAAAAACTAAACCAAATGGCTTCTTCTTACATCTACTTCTTGTTTTGAAAACCTCAATCAAGAAATCCTTAAATAACTACAAATTTACCTAAATGGTCCTTCTGGTTGAGAGAAAAATACAACTATAAATCAATTTGAGAAAATTTTAACATGGTTAATTTTTTTTCCTTTTAAAACACATAAGACCGGTACTTTTAAGTAATATGGTTGATCATTTCCAGTTTAAAAAACACATGATAAGTCCTTGTGGTTGGCATAAAAGGACTCGTCTGTACATTTTAAATCTAAAAATGACCAAATTATATTTAAAATTTGGGAAATCTCCAATAAAGTCATAATATTTTAAGTTAGTTTACGGTTTAATCCTAACTTTTATTTTCTGAAAAAAAAAATTCTCGATTATTTTATATTTTTTCAAAATTAACGAAACAATCCTTATTTTTTTCAACATAAAATGATAAATTGTCGTATAAAATTAAATAATTGAGAATTTTATGTTCAAAAAATAAATATTTGAATTAAACCGTAAACTGATCCAAAAAATTAAGATTTCATCCGATAATTCACTAAAAATTTCTTAAAAATACTTACATGTGTATTTTTACCAACCATAAGGACCATTTATGTATTTTTGTTTTAAATAAATAAACTAAAACAAGAAAGAAGGGAAGTTTGAAATGAAAATAATAAGTAATTATAATAAAGAAAAAGAACATGAAGACTTCCACATGTACACAATCTAAACTTGGTAACAAATGTGTTCAAGAAAAAGCACAATCATCTTCTTCTACCTCCCTTTATACATTATGCAGTCAAACAAACAAAGAATCACAGACAAAATCGATTGAAGTTGAAACTTTTTAAAAAATCCTTATAAAAGTAGCAATTATGATGTCACCAGATACTCAAATGGCCACACACCCAGTTCCTAAATTTCAAAAAAACACTCATTTAGCTTCTTTCCCTTTGTCAATATCTACAAACCTGTCACAACCAATGTTACTTACACACATACACATGCACAAAATCCAATCAAACAATCCAACGAATTACAGACAAAATCAATTAAAACCTCAAAAAATGGTTTAGAAAGAAGAAATTATGTTGTCAACAGGTTCATTAAAAATACTCAAGTGGCGAAATACTTGATACCCACCTCCTAAATTTCAAAAACAACACTCAATTTCGGTTCTTCCCTCTTTTCAAAACCTCCAAACCCTAATTTTGTTGGATGAGTTTAATTTTGAGATATTTGAAATTGAAAGCGAATTGGGTGAATTTAAATAACGCGATAATAGCTTTAATGGAGTAATGAATTACTGATGCTTCTTGCATGATAATGATCTGTAAAGAAGGTATACGACGACTGAATTTGTCTGATGGAGTTCTTTGGTGCTGGGTAGATAATGAATTTTAATGAAGATGCTTCAAACTGGTCTTCACATAAATCTCTCTGCCAAATTCGTGCAGAATCTCAGGCAATAATACATAGATGAAATTAAGGAGGGATGTTAATTCGTACGAATGGGATTTGGAAAAAAAATGTACAGGAAAATTTGGTTGTAGAGATTTATTCAAATTAAAATTTTTAAGAAGGTATGTATTACATTTTAAATTTAAAATGACATTTTCGTTTAGTTTTTATAGTTTTAATAATAGAACAAGCTATTAATTTGCAAAGTACATTTAAAAATGTTAATATTGAAAAGAACGAACAAATTGTGAAATGCTAAATCTTAATATTAAAAGATCTTCAATCCAATTTCATATTTTCATTTTCATTTTATTTGAAATTTTAGTTTTGTTCTTATATATATATATATATATATATATATATATATATATCTATATATATATATATATATATATATATATATATATATATATATATATATATATATATATTAGGGTTAAAATCATTTTTAACTAACATTTATTATGTAACCATGTAATTCGATCATGGCTATTAGATCAAAGAAAAATGAAATTATTCTTGAAAGAATACTATTAGTGAAATATGATTTATTATTAATTAAAAAAAACGGTTATAAAAAGGTGAATATGACATTGTACTAAGAGATAAAAAAGGAAGCTAACTAGATTTTAGGAAACTCATTTGAATCCATGAAAAGAATATCTGATCATTTTTCTTCTTGTTAGAATACGTTTTTATTCTTGACAGGATAAATTTTCATTATAAAAAAACATATAACTTTTTGTTCTAATAAGGCATAATGACATAAAAGGGTAATGTATTTTTTGATTTGTACACATTTGGTCACTGAGTCTTTTTTTTCGTCCACATTTATCCCTTCAACCTGTTAAACTGTACACATTCACGTAAGATTTCGTGATAAAAACCTAAAGAAATCATTCATAAGTACTGAATGAGTACAAAAACAAAAATGTCTTATTTTGCAACAAAAAAAAATATTAATGACTAAATGTGTACAAAAATATTAAGGACTAAATCTGTACAAAGTAAGAAATATATTACCCTATTAAGTCATTTTTATCGGTTAACCTGGAGTAGCCGGTCATAAGAACTGAATGTGTACAGTTTAACAAGTTAAAAGGTTATGTTGACAAAAAAAAACTCAGTGACTAAATATGTATAAATCGAAAAATATATTACCCTTTTAAGTCATTATCCCTTCTAATAATTGGGTTTTGTGATTTAAAGTTTTCGATTTCCGGTATTTAACATCGAAGCCTGACTTTACTCTGCAATTAAACATTAAACAATCAAGAATAACATATTAAAACCAAAGAATCAAGAATCCAAAATCGATTCCATAACACAACTCTAAAATCATTATGTGAGAATGAAAAAAGAAACCAAAATTAATAACATTATTGAAGAATAAGACATTATCTTACAAGTCTCATGAACAGGTTCCATATTTATGGTATAATAAAATACATTCTAGGAAGAATTAGACTAAACAGAGACATTCTCTTCTTGAAAAAATAATAATAAGACATTCTTGTATAATAAATGATATTTAACTACCATGAACCAAAACACAACCCTAACCCTTTCTCTAAATTGAATTTGCAGGTCTTTGATTGCAGCTCTCATCCCTTTATAGAAGGTTTTAAAAATAAAGAGCATAGATTCCTTTTTTTTGTTTCTGAATCAACATATCGAACAACCTTTTTGGGATAAGTCGCTAAAGATGGAAAAGAAATCCTTATTCTGTTCTGGTCGACTTAATCAAATGGAGATGAGATAGGAAAAAAAAACTACCAGAAACGCAAAAAAGAATTAGTGTTAGGATTTGATTTTTTGCCAAAATCAAAACGAGAATAAGCAAATTGGTGAAGAAAGTACCTGATTAAAGTAATTTATATTCATGTCATGTTAAAGATTTACCCTTCTTTCTGTCTTCTCCTTCAACAAAATGCAACCACAAGACCTCCAAAGAAATCTCAAGAATATGGTCTAAAATGGAGGACCTTTAAAAGAATATGCCATGAAACAATGTAAGATTATACAAATTTCAAGTTGCTAGGATGGTGTGCGTCTTTCTTGGCTTGGCCTATGGAATCGGAAGAATGGATTCTCTCGTCTTCCTATGTTTCATAGTCTTCTCATGGTAAGGTAGCAACCTGGACAGAAATCAAGGAGAAAAATGAATAAGATGTAGTTGAAAAACAATTTATAAATTCAAGTTTAGTGGATCAAATGCTCATGAACTAATATCAGAGGTTCTAAAAAAATGAAGAACATAAATGACTTTGTTACTTTCTGGATCAACAAATCAACCAACCTTTTTGGGATGAACTCGCTTGGATTCTTGAACCCGCTGAAGATAGAAGGATCGAACGAAGAACATGATGTCTGATTTGTTATCGAGGTCGTTGTGTAGGAGTCTAGTGAAAGAAACTCTTATTTTGTTGTAGTCGATTGAATCAAATATTGTGTAACTGCAAAACAAACTAAGAAAAAGGGATTCTGCTACAAAGAAAACAAGAGGAGGATATAAACCATATAATTGATTTATCTTCCTGATATAGCCCTAGAATCGATGAAATGGGAGAATAGATAGGACACAGAGAGAGTAACAGAGATGTGTCTACCATTGTTGTGGTGGAACTGCTCGAATAGAATTTTAAGCAACGGTGGAGATGGTGATTTATGGTGGAGAAGAAGAATCAGTCGACTGTCTACAGAGAAAAGGAGGTGAGAGAGAAACGAGTTTATAGAGAGAGAAAGAGGGGAGATGGCTTTATTTCCATAAATAAGTTTCCTTAAATCAAAGTGACTTATTTTGAAAATTAACAAAATGACAAAATTGACCCTGAATAATTAATTAAAAATAATAACAAAATAACAATTAATGATTGATCATGAATTGGTTATACAGTTACACAATACATGTCTATTTACATATGATCTATATATATATATATATATATATATATTATATATATATATATAGATATATATAAATTATAATTTAAATATAATATATAATATTTATAATATTCTATTATATATTAAATTGTATTAATTAATCATAAATATAAGTTAAGTTTTATATAACGAATTCATATAAATCTTTTTAATGAATATTAAAATTTTGAAATATAACAACAAATCTTATAAAGATAATCAATTTTAACATTTTTTATATGAAAATAATAAAAATAAATAAGTTCAGTTAAGTCTACTAAAATACATTAGTTGATCATCTATAAGAAATTATATGTATTGGTTCTTTTTAAATATATGTGTAATATTTTTATAAATATATGCATATTATTTATTTAAAAAATA